TCCCCCTGATTGAGTTGATAAAACTCTGTGAATATGTTCTTCCTTTCTTCTCTGGAATAGGTTCTTTCTTTGCAGATACATACTGCAGATAATCTTATTTGGCTTGAACATTATTCTCACGAAATCCTTATTCCAATCCTGACCAGAGAATCAGATCCTTCACCAAAACTCACAACAGAAATTTGTTCGCTCAAAAGCATCGACATGACTTCTAATCTGCTCCACCGAAACTGACATTGCAAGCCTTCTTCTTCAGAATTAATCCAAGAGATCTGATCATGTCACAAATTTAGACAAACTTGAACACACCTAGTCGTTGTCTCCAAATGCAGCTTGTTGTCACATTCACAACTTCACAAAGCTTCTTAGTTAGCTCATTCAACCATATAATTGTTATCTACAATAACTTCTCTTGTACAAATGAGACCATCCGCAATATAACCCATCTAAAATTGAGGGTTATTACTCTCTTTGAATCATTCTCCTTGGTCAAAAGGCTTGTCACACATGCAGACAATTTTTGTCTCACTATGAATAACTATGTTATAGCACAAGGAAGTCACAAATCTACAGACCGCTTCTTGAATTACTTGCAGTAAACTTGAACCAAACGACACTCCATCAAGGTACCAAACCTGCTACACATGCTTTCGACACAAATCCAAGCTTCCTGTTTTAAACAAAGCGTTTCAGACAATCTTAGACCTTTCAGCTAGCTCACCCAACTGATCTAGTGACGTTCATGAGGCTTCTCTTTTAACAGCTTTAACTGATGTAATACTTTCTGCCTACATCACACCTTTTGTCAAATCCCATAAGAAATCCCATTTTGTTAATTGCTGGTAATCTTTACATGAGTAACACTCTCTTTTATCCTTTTGAAAAAACCTTTTTCATTCTCTCCTGTTTGATGACCGAGAAGTGTTTTGTGACGACTCCAAAGTCCTTGAGCTTTCATGCTCACGCACACCTCACGATCACATAACCTCCCCCTATCCTTGTGGATACAA